ACGTCCACGCACTCACCTCGAAGGATCGAAATGAACGAATGAACGATGTTTACTAAAACCCCCNCACACAACGAACCACTGGTCCAAATCTGAAACAGGAGACTGTTCTGGAAACTAGACACAAACAGCTACGCGTCGGTATACGGATCGCCTCCAGACTCCTTCTGGTTCGATCGGAATTCCCCTCTGAANCCNACTGATCGCAGANAANAATCTNCACAANCCCACCGAGTTCAAACAGCCATAACTCGGTGAATAATCAACCAAAAGACNAACCGTTTTCGCCTATAACACGAGCAGAGATTGGAGAACTTACCCTCCAACAATCAGCCCAATCCGCCGTGAAAAGCCCCGCCGTTTGCCCTCTCAAAGATCCGATCAGAAGCTGTTCACACAATGAACCTCTCAAGAACAAGTCTCACTCTCTCTCCCCACCTTTCTCTTCTGATTCTGATCCAACAAAGCGGCCAGGACCCTGTTCCAGCCTTTTATATCAAACCCTAGGGTTCTTCCTTAACCAACACGCAAACCGTGCGACCAAACCCGACTTTCCGGTCTGATTAAAGATTTGCGTCGCTCGACACAAGCTCTCTGCGTCGCTCGACGCACCACCAAAAATACACATTTTTGATTCGCGTACGTTACAATTTTATCATTTATCCATAGAATCTAATCATCATCATATAATTATGAGTTATTAAAAACCACTGTTCTTTTTATACACTAGCCTTACACAATTATTATTCACACTATCTGAGTAAGAGCATTGGCTGGTAAAGATGCAAAGAATATGAAAAAGGGTTATTTGTCTAATTGCGTGCTCCACAAAACTCTTGTCTAGTTGAGCCATAATTGTCAAATTTTGTACATCTTTTCATTCTTCTTATTTTAATTGCATTTATTAAATAAAGAAAGAAAAAGAATAAAATAATCCGTTAATAGAAAGAAGAGGGTGATGTGAAAGTCCAAGTAAAAATCTGTTAAGAAGAAATAAACACTAGAAGCAGTGAAGAAGAATGTTGATGGGCATAATTATAAGTCGAGAGCACAAGCAAGAAAGAAGAAAAAGAGGAATGAAGACAAGGCCCGTGAAGAGAAGGCCCTGATAAAAAGCCCAAATAGATTTTAGGTTTGATTTTTCCGACGCGGCTGGAGGAGAAGACTGGACCGGTGACGAGTCAAAAAGTCAAAAGTCGAAGAAGAGAAGTTAACTTATAATCAAAATCATCTCTAAACCGTCAAAGTGGAAACATCTCTTTCCGTTACAAGACAAGGCGAACGCGTCTTGAG